AGCTCGTTACAATTTTGCATTCTTGAATTCCCTAACTTCGCTGCCTTAAGATCTCGGGCAAAAGTTGGTTTATGGTGGATGTGTGGGATTGAGTTTGTGGCGGCAGCGCGGCAGTGATAAGGTTAAGCTGCCTGCAACGGGGTTACTGGATAACAAACACTTTAATATTTGGCGAATAAATTTTATAATAATACATTAACTTAAAATGACTTAAAAACTAAAATTTAAAAATTAATAATGATAAAAACTATTTACAAAATAAAAAATACTTCACCCCCAGCGCCGCAGTCAGGAATCATGCCCAAAAGGCAAATATTTGGCGACTTCTTTAAAAATTTTTTCATCGGATGCTTCAATATCTGCTTGGCCCAAAGGTAGACTGGAGAACACCATTCAGTTCGCTTTTTGACTTGGTTTTATATGCAAATGCAAGACATTTTTAAATATATGAATTCCAATGCTGATTTTAGTTTAAAGACATTTATCATAAGCATCGATAATATTATTTATCATAAGCATGTTATTTTCTAAAACTCGTTTTTCCGTAGTCTTACGAAAACTTTGGCCCTGTTTCCACCAAACGGAGAAGAGCGATGACTGTGTTTGAATAACCAATCAGATTTCGTTGTTTCCTCTCCGCTCAGCTTCTGTTCTGAAATCCGATAAGCTATTCAATTCAAACACATCTCGTCTTTCGTGGGAACCGGGCCTTAGGCTCTTTTTAGTGTTTATTCGTTTCAGCCAAATGACGTCTACTGCTGGACAAAGGCCTCCCCCAAGGGTTTCCATAACGACCGGTCTTGCGCTGTCCGCATCCAGGTTCTTCCCGCGACCTTCACCAGATCGTCAGTCCACCTAGTCGCCACTCGAGAACTATTTTGCCTCGGCTTTTTGGAGTATACATGAATGAAACTATGTTCTACAACTTTCCGTAGCATTTCGGAGTTGCAGTTGGAGTGCATCCATGATGCCTCAACTGGATGCGTGTACTTAATCACAACTTAGAAGCGGGACTATGCAATCAGAACCTAACTTTATTCGGTTAAGTTCCGGAGTTTATGTTTTAACTTGCAACAGTTTCAGCTTAATGTTGACTGCTTGCAGCAAAACACCTGGTATTAAGTTAAATGAGGTACTCGTAGTTTAGTCTGGATATTTTTGTTGCTTACAAATAACATTGTTAGCGTTGGGTATGCTATTTACATAATATGTAGGTGCTTTAATTAATAATCGTATAAAAATTTAGATTTGTAGATATTTTTCAGACTAGCTTTCCGCCCACGACTTCGCCCGCGTGGTATTTTTCGGTTTTTTATATGACACTCAGCAATAATGTGGCTTTCTATTGGTAAAAGAATTTTTAAAATCGGTTCAGTAGATCCCGAGATTACCCCTTAGAATTTAACAAATATACAAACACACAAACTCTGCTTCTTACTCTATAGATAAAGTGTACTAAAGGTTTAATGAAAAAATACATCAAGGAAGGCTGTAAGGTATACACAAGCGATCGTGAATGCGGCCGTGGCTCTACTCTAATTCTGCTCTAGTACCTTGTATTCCTTGAAGACTGATGTAAGTAAGACTGGCGTACGAAAATGCAGACTTTACTTGTGATTATTTGCCACGCCAAGCCACTAGTGGCTTGGCGTGGCCAAGTGTGCGGCCTCTCCACGCACCCAATTCATGTGACCCTTGTTGAAGGCCGTCGTAGAAAAAAACCAATGTACGAAAGAGTTCAGTCATTGATCGCTACTAGTGGCTGCTATAGCCACCAGTGGCTTTCAATGGCCAAGTGTGCGGCATAATGCGGTAGAATGCGATGTCTTACGCATTTTTTTAGACCATGTAGTTTTATTCGATTCGAAACAGTAATGTACGAAGATTTTCAGTCATTACTTGAGGTGGGCAGTCGCCACTAGTGGCTTTACCATGGCCAACAGTGGCTTTCAGTGGCCACTACGAGCCAAGTGTGCGGCTCTACCCAATTCATTTATTCACACAATTTCGTAATACCATCCCTCTAATAGGGGTGCGAAATAAATCGATTATACTGATAACACCCAATATTTTACGGAGACCCTAAACATTAAACGGTTCAGCCTATCGCTAAATTACAATCTAATCTTTCGGCTCCCGCCGTAAGAACTGTAATCTGTTAGCTACATGCGGTTTACGAGAGAAATGTTTTTATTTTATGGCCTTTATGGTAATTGGGTATAAACTGACACCAATATCTTTTAGCACAAATGGCTGTTGTTCACCTAGAATGGAAATCTTTGTGAATTTTGTTGATCACCCATAAATTGTCTTTGCAGTTCATCTTTCTTCTGTTTATATTTTATCACTAGCTTTCCGCCCGCGGCTTCGCCCGCGTGGAATTTTGTCTGTCACAGAAAAACTTTATCGCGCGCGTCCCTGTTTCAAAAACCGGGATAAAAACTATCCTATGTTTTTTCCCGGGACTCAAACTACCTCTATGCCAAATTTCATCAAAATCGGTTGCGAGGTTTCAGCGGGAAAGCGTAACAGACAGACAGACAGAGTTACTTTCGCATTTATAATATGTTGGGATGAAACCTAGTTATGAACTTTCTTTGCTTAAAGACTAATTTGACGAGTATAATAAATTTTATCATCCTTTGACATTTGACGAAAAGCGACCGAATTCTGTTTTTTTTTCATAGTTGTTACTTTACCTGCTAAAATATTCATCGCTCCGAAAAAGAACATCAATTATGGAAAGGTCATTAAAAACTTCGAAATAGGGTGTCCTCTAGCTAGAACATAATTGAGATAATAACCGTAGTCTCTTTTATTGCGAACACTTAAAATTTACAAGAAAAAACCTTCAACCAAGCGGAAGTGAAGACCAATTTTCCATTTACCTCTGGTGAAGTAGCGAGCTGATGGCCACTTGGGCAAAAGAGTTTTCGAGTGGCGACCAAGAAGTTTACTAGATCGAATCAGAAATGAGGAGATCCGTAAACGAACTAAAGTCGCTGACATAGCCCGACGGATTAGCAAGCTGAAGTGGCAGTGGGCACATAGTACGCAGAACTGACGGCCGATGGGGCAGCAAGGTTCTGGAATGGAGGCTGCGTACCGGAAAACGCAGCGTTGGAGCTCCACCCACAAGGTGGATCGACGACCTGATAAAGGTATCAGGAAGACGCTGGATGCAGGCCGCTACCAACCGTGCGATGTGGAAGTCATTGGGGGAGGCCTATGTTCAGCAGTGGACGTCCTATGGCTGAAATGATGATGATGATGATGACCAAGAAGTGTGAGCAGGCCTCTCATTAGGTAGACCAACGCTCTTGTGAAGGTCAGGGGAAGTACCTAGATATGGGCAGCGCAGGGCCGGTCTTTATGGAACTCCTTGGAGGAGGCCTTCGTCGAGCAGTGGATGTCATTTGGCCGAAACCAAAGAACTAAAGTAGAGAGGATTGCGTTGCGTTGCAGTGATCTTGCAGTAGATAATAAACAACCTGATGATTGAGTAATGTTAACACTTCTTTTTTTCATAAAGGGTATGTACTTTTTAATACAATAAATAGCAAATTATTAGCAGTCATGATAGATAACATTCAACATCTTCCCATTTGAGTAGAGCCTACTGAACCTAACCTATTATTGTTTAGAGCTTATAATTAATTTTGTCGTGCCATTAACTTTGGAGTAAAACCCAGAGTCATCGTCAGACGATTTTCGTTTGTAAACAAAAACACGTAGCATTGACACTGTTATTATGCTTGCTAATTATGAAAAACTTCTACTACAGTTCATTCTAACGCATTATTCACAAACGATGCTTGCTTAAGTGAAGCAGCAAATCGAACGCACAGCATTGAATATAACTCTGTGATTGGTTTATGTGTCACCATGTGAGTCCACGAGCTCTGTGAGACCTCATAGTAATGTTTGAATACGGGCGTAAGCTTTGTATTAAGTAGTTAAACGTCCGAGACCTTACATATTTTACAGCCTGGTGGATCGTATACAATTACCATCGCAGGGTACAATCCTGCTAGGACAGCCCTTAATGATGTAATACATAACGTTATAGTCGATTTATCATCATCATCAGATCATTTAGTCTCCACTGCACTTTATTATTTACCAAATGGAGGATTCGACCTACACTCCTAATCTCCCTACGCTGGCCTGACAGGTTGGGAAGGCCTGATGTTCGCATAGTCCATGTATATTTGTCCTTGATTAAGGTAATTGCCATTGTTACTTTACTGTGTGGATTTACAATTTAACAATTACTTACCACGCTTACCATTATTACTTAGCATTAGTATCCATTTTAGCATGGTGTGACAGCTCGCCTATTAGTATCATGAATGTATTCATTAATATATTAGTACACAAGCGCTGTCCGCACAGACATGTTTAAAAAGGTTGTCAAGGGAAAATCGCTTGTTCTGCGAATTGTTCGCGTGACACTAATGGTAGTAAAGTTAGTGTAGTTTTACGTGATCACATAGCATCTAGTTGGTATCAAACGTTTTTTTATAAATCCTGATATCAGAATTGGTCGTCTTCAAAAGTCTTCAGCTGGCTGTCTTCACTGTAAAAGCATGGCCTCTCTAATTTACCAAAGGCAAATAGATGATGTGTCCTACACTTGAACCGCCTCTGTGGTCTAGTGGTAAGACCACCTGCTTCAGACGCAGAGGTCCCGGGTTCGATTCCCAGTGGGGGCAGAATTTTCTGTTCGGTTTGGTTGGTGGTAGGGCTTGTTCCAAGTCTGCCTGGCTAGCTACCACCATCTTACCTAAGTCTGTCGCCATAACAACAATGTTAACAGCATTGTTGTGTTCCGGCAGTTAGAGGTAAGATAGCCAGTTCCTCCGTGGTTGAGGATTCCGGGTGAAGCTCGCTTCCACCTTCGGCCTGATCATCACTTACCATCAGGTGAGATACAGGCCAAGAGCTTCCTCGTTGTGGATAAAAAAAAAGATTTTATCAAGTTTAAAAGCGCCACTTACCTAACAAAATACTGCTTATTGGCGTAAGTCCACTTCTCCTTCTGTACGATAGGGTCTACACACACGGAGGTGAACTCTGTGGTATTGTCAGCACCGCCGCGACTGCTGTGCTCTAGTCGGAAGATGCCGTATCTAGCTGCCAGCAAACCTAAGTTTAGGTAGCTGGAATAGAAAAAGATACAGGTCAATAATGATTAAAAAAATTGACAGAAATAAAAGACCGTTTTAGAATTAAAAACAACTTAATATTAAGATATTGAAAATAACAAAAAAACCTTTTAATCATAAAAGCGCCATCTATAGCCGAGCTGTAAGTTTTGTCGTCTCTCACCTGCTTTATTTATACCTGTGCGTAAACGTGTCACACTGATCAAAGAAACATCATACATATGCGTGTAAGGCAGGATACACCGTACCTATGCGTGTAAAGCAGGGTACATCATACCTATGCGTGTAACGCAGGGTACAGCGCACCTATGCGTGTAAAGCAGGGTACGTCGTACCTATGCACGTAAAACAGAGTGCATCATACCTGTGCGTGCAAGGCAGGATACACCGTACCTATGCGTGTATAACAAGGTACATTGTACCCGCGCTTGTGTAGCTGGGTACGTCATATCTGTGCGTGTAAAGAGCAGGTTAAATCGTACCTGTGCATGTAAAGCAGGGTACATTGTACCTATCCTTGTAAAACAGGGTACACCCTACCTGTGCTATTAAAGCAGGGTACACCGTACCTATGCATGTAGAGCAGGGTACACCGTACCTATTGCGTATAGAGCAGGGTACGTTGTACCCGCACCTGTATATCAGGGTACATCATACCTGTGCGTGTAGAGCGAGATGTTGGCGCTTCCCGCGGCCACGGCGTGCTGGTCGCGCGCGGGGTAGCGGGCGCGCTCGTGCTCGGGCAGCGCGTACGTTATTTGTGTGGAGCCCCCGCCGAGGTCGAGCGCCGCCATCGTCGACCCGCCCATTGAGTCTGACAAATATCCACTTTATAGCCTGACCAGGAACATAAAAACCCTNATCACTTACCATCAGGTGAGATACAGGCCAATAGCTTCCTCGTCGTGGGTAAAAAAAACTCCACGTTGGCCAGACGGGTCGGGGAGGCCTGAAGGCTTTTGTGATATGAGTGGGGATGGCCCTATTCTACTCTGCTGGAACTACAAATTGAATTATCCTATTTTAAGGGAGGTTCTGGAGTGGAGGCCACGTACCGGTAAACGCAGCGTGGGACGTCCACCCACAAGGTGGACCGAACACCTGATAAGGGTAGCAGGCTCTGGATGCAGGCCGCTGCCAACTGTGCGATGTGGAAGTCATTGGGGGAGGCCTATGTTCAGCAGTGGACGTCCTATGGCTGAAATGATGATGATGAAGGGAGAAATATGCGAACATCAGGCCTCCCCAACCCGTCTGACCAGCCTCCCTTTGGCCTCAGGTAAATTAGAGAGGGTGTTGCTTCTGAAGGAGAGACTAAAAGACCAAGATGATGATTAAACACATACTTTAATGGTGTTTGATTTAAGATAGGGACTTCCAATCGCTTTTCATGTATTTAATAGTGCCACTGATCGCGTTTGCTATGATAATGGCCGACAAGCTGATACTGACACCGTGGAATAGGTTAAGGGCGTTTAGGTAATACTAATATGTAATTTATACTTTGTAAAATAAATTCAGTAATAGTAAATATTTAATAAGCCGCTTAATTTTTGTAGCCGCCAGCGTGTTTTAATAAACTGTAGATAGTAAATAAAGATGGCTTATCTTTATTCTCTTGTAGAGGTCTTATCCGATCTTCCAACTAACTTCTGCCTGCGACTTTTACACCAAAATCTATAACCTAAATAAGATACGTTTCATATCCTTCCTTGAGAAATGCCTGATTGACATCCTATTTCACAAAAAGCCTAAGCCCTTCTTCAAGGTTCGACGATCTATCTCTATTCCAAAATCATCATACTTATCAAAATTGGTGCACACTGTGTTATTTTCCCCAAACTTCCCGATTGAAAGCAATTAAGAAAAGGTTGCCTTACAGATAATGGCGGCTGTAACGAAAAACAGACAAAACTAAATTACGTAATTTATTTCTTGCGCGAAAAATTAGTTTTCTCTTAAAGTTATTTGGTCAAACGATGTCTTAAGCCTGTTACAAAGTTGGCTGAGAGCCTACACTGGCTAGGACAGGGTTTCTCAAACTAGGGTAAGCAAACCCCTACTATGGGTTTGCTAGTGTTCCATCCATATGAAGATTTACCGTATATTTTTTTTAAATCTACTTAAGCCTAAGTCTTACTTCAGTTCGACCGTCATCATGCATGTAACTGCGCCAAAATATTGGAGTCTCACCCAGAATTATGTTCGTTTCGTTTCAGCCAAATGACGTCCACTGCTGGACAAAGGCCTCCCGCAAGGATTTCCACAACAACCGGTCCTGCCCGGCACTGCCCGCATTCAGGTACTTCACCAAGTCGTCGGTCCACCTAGTTAGGGGCATGTCTACACCAAAAACCTAACCTGAAGAAAATTTTGCATCAAATTTGCTTCAGAAATCGCTTTAATTTGTGGTTAGTTACGAGCCCAATCAGCTCAGCCTTACCTCATCGACTTTGACATTTGTATTCACTTTCAAAAACAAAAATTGATTTATTAAATACAAACTATTTTAAATTAATATTTCAAGAGGTTCACAGTCGACTGGCAAAATTAATAAGCATTCGAAGGATTATAAGTTTGAGAAACTCCAGTCTAGAATCTAGGTCGACACGACAAAGGGTAACCATGTGGAAAATATTAATTCAACTAAACTTACAGGGCCCTTGCAAGTACTGAACTGAATATAAATGGGCTTGAAAGTTTTGTTTTTGTTTTATAAATTAACTAATTTATTTTATTTTCTCATGTGAAAAACAGATAAATAGCGAATTTAATAACCCTCCTTTTGGCGCAGTCGGGTAAAAATTACTTCAGTCAGAACTCATGCGTAGATTCAAACCTGCGATATCTTTAAGCGTTATTGTTTTCTCGGTATTTTTTAGATTTTTTAATTTTAGGTACTTTTAAGCTTCGGCCAAACCAACGCGTGCAGCCTGCGTGCGCGATGACAATCAGATGTCTATGAATTTTTAGCGATGAGTTCACATCAAACACGTCCTGTCATTGGTCGCGGCGATCTATGCACGCGCAGTAATTGCCATCGCCAACGCGAGCTGCGTTGGTTTGGTCGAAGCTTTAGCCTAGGCGCAGACCACGGACATTTAGTTGGCTGATAGTTGGGTCGGGCATCAGTATGGACATGTATGTCAGTGCGCACATTACACCGATTTGGTATCGGTCGATTCTTTATACAAATTAAAATCGGGCCCAACTATCGGCCGACTAAAAGTCGGTGGTCTGCGCCTAGGCTTAGTGTAGAGTATTCGTGTAATGATTACTCTTGTAGCTGGCGTTACTTTTTATCGTCATATCATTATCTAACAAAACCGATTATACTTATCGTTATAACTTCTTAATACTTAGTAATTATAATATCACTTCTCGAGAGAGCTTAAAAAACTTCATTCAACTCGCGTCGAGGACGTTCTAATTAGTTTTTCTCACTTCGGAAGATACTTTAATTTTATGCTTTAATTAGTGGATTATACCTTTTTTATACCTTCAGGAATTCAACGGCATGTCGAGCTAATGATTGTGGTCCCTTATAATTAATTATAAGATTTTCAAACAAAAATATCTAGTCAGTTCTGATATCTCTATTGTCGATTAATCGACAAATTGAAAAGCGTTTCGATAAAAATATCTTAAGAAAAAAATCTTGCAAAATTGAAGTGACAACGGAAAGATCCTATCTAAGATAAATTACCATACCAGCTCTGTAACATGGATGCCATAAATTATTGAGTATTGAAAGACACAGCTGAAAATTTCTATCAAATAGCGACCACGAACAGTGTACCTACCATGAGTTTACGTTAGGTGTGCTCGCTAGCGAGTACGTCAAAAATCTCTATGAAGATTTTGTTCTTGAAAGTAGCCGCTAGGGGCGCTGCACAATATGTCATACAATTAATGTCATTTTTTTACGTAGTCGCTAGCGAACACACCTAACGTAAACTCATGGTAAGCACACTGAAGTATCTACAATTCTACATACATCCAGAGGGAGAAGAAGGGCTTAGAAGAGTAGAAAAATTCTCATTTAACAAAAAATATATTTCCCTAACAGCAATTCTTGTTTCTAAACCCGAAGCCATTCCCAAGTAGTAAGTTACCGCAGCAACATTACACCTTTAATTGTCTCGGACTTCCAAAGATTAAAGTAATTTGTTCGTCGGAACTCAGTTAAAGTTGGCGAATCAGGCCTGTAATTAAATGTTCGGAAGAAGTACCTAGGTTTTATTAGATCAGCTCCGGGCTTAGACACAAAATAGAAATGAGTAGAAGACAATGTTAACAGCATTGTTGTGTTCCGGCAGTTTGAGGTAAGATAGCCAGTTCCTCCGTGGTTGGGGATTCCGGGTGAAGCTCGCTTCCACCTTCGGCCTGATCATCACTTACCATTAGGTGAGATACAGGCCAAGAGTTTCCTCGTTGTGAACAAAAAAAAATCGACGTACAAAGTGTGCTCGACTAACTCATACATGGACACCGCTCAGGCACTTCCAATTCCATAATAAGTGTCAAGCCTCATAAGAAGGTTTAAGATCATCCAAAGGGCGATCGAGCGTGCTATGCTCGGAGTTACCCTGCGTGATCGAATCAGAAATGACAGCCCGCAGAATCGTTAAAATCAAGTGGCAGTGGGCGGGGCACATAGCTTGCAGAGCTGATGGCCGGTGGGGCAGAAAAGTTTTCGGCGACCACGGGCTGGAAGACGTAGAGTTGGCAAGCTTCTCACTAAGTGGACTGATGGTATGCAAAGTGAAGTACATGCTAGTGATTGTCTTCTGATCATTTCTATTTTGTGGCTTAGATGAGGCGAAGATTAACAAGAACTGGCCTTCAAAGTTCAGGAACTATGTCGGGGTTGAGTAATTGAGCAAAAACTCCGAACTATGTGACTTTTGGTAAAACAGTTCAGAATTTTAACAAGTTTTACTATTGACAAAGGTTCCTAGGTCTAAATGTTTTTGGGTCAGCAACGATAATTTAGTCTGATGGTAGAGCTCTGCCTGCACGCAAGTTCGAATCCTGTAAAAGGCAAAAACTTATAGTACTTGCGAAAAAAGTCGTAGGTCAGTGGATTTCAAATCCTACTAGTTATTATTATAAAGAAGAAAGATTTTGATTGTTTGTATTTAATAGGCTCCGACACTACTGAACTGATTTGAAAAAATCTTTTACCGTTAGAACCTAGTATTCCTGATGAACATAGGCTATAGATTTTTTATTGGCGGTTCTAAGTTCGCCGGGTCAGCTATTATTTAATAAATGCGTTATTTATTTCAATATCAATAATATTTTATCATTTAACATCGACATAACTGTGGGTGTGATTGTTGAACCAATTTTTCTTTCAGTGCAACAGCAAATAGTTTCGCAATTTAGTATAAATGATACAAAGTCGGACAAATTGGCAGGAAAGCTGTCGGCAAACAAGACAAATTGCAAAACCAAACGTTCCTGGCAACGGATTCAGGTTTGCATGATGAAACACAATAATTCACCTTTTTACATCGCTGACTCTACAAGAAAATACTGCAGTAGTCTCTCTCCAGAAAAACTTAACTATTGAATTGATTTATGTCTAACTTTTTCAAACATTACTTATTTTAATATAACTTCGCAAAAGTTTGGTAATATGTTCGTCTTTAAGACACACGAATCAAACCCACTGATGCTGATCGAAAACCGACAAGGATTTTCGGCCTTTGCGCTGAGTCCCAAAATGTACCTTAAGACACTTAGTTAAATTATCAAGTTAAAATCGAGAAAGCGGTAATTACATCAGGTAGATATAAGCGAATAGCGATTG